TAATTGAATTTATTTCCGGCACCTTTGGCTAGCCGGCATTCATCCAACTAAATGACCAGTCGTACCGATGCTTTTCGTCTGTTGTGAAATATCATGTTAAATGCTGTGAAACGTCTTCAGCCGTATGAGAAAAAAACAGGAATACGAATTAAAGTAATAAGTTACTATCTAGTTTGATTGTGTAGCGAATGCTGTTTTTAAAATATTTTAATAATATATTTGAAATTTTAAAAATATTGTTAACTTTAGTAGTAAAAGACTATTGACAAATTGGTCGGAGATTAATTTTTAATATCTTTATTACTAATTAAATAAGAATCTTCTATAATAATAAAATTATATAGTACTTTTAATACTTTATAGTGAATTGTAAGTTTCCATAATTGCTAAACTGATTTATTAATAATTAATTAATATATTTTTGTTCGAGATAACTTTTCTTAACACATATTAAACATAATTATCATATTTATAAAGAGCTTATAAAGTTTATATCTTATAGAACTTTAAACTGTAACTTTACCATACCTATACTTTATTATTTCATTATCGAGGGTGATATTTCTTTGTTTGTATATTATCATGCGTTCATCTTCATCATAATAAAGATAATATGTTAAATGAATAAATATTTAATATACTTAAATCGATTAAATTAAGAAATTTTATTTGTTTATTTACCTTTTTGTATTCGTTAATACAATTTGTTACAAAAGCTTCAGCAACTTTCTCAAATTCGTCTTTTTTAACTTCGCTCAGATAATTAACCGTGAAACCAATACCACATAGTTTTTTGTGACAAAAATCCAATGGAATGTTTTCTTTTTCAAGAGGTTCAATAATTAATCTTATCATCTCATAAAATTTTTTCCAACGCATAAATTCATTATAATAGTTTGACTTTTCGTTATAGAACGGAATAGCCTCCTTAATAAATTTACTAATTTCTTTAGTTTTAGTGTTTTCGTATTCATATATACTAACAGCTTTATGAATCATTATTGCGTGCTGAAATCTACTTGAAAATTCTTCCCATTCAAGATTGGTCTGTAACTGTTTTTTTTTAATATATATTTCTTTTAAATAATCTGGCCATTTATTTAACGAATCTGGTGCATTTGGGGTAGAAGAAGGGTAAACCAAGTCTTCTTTTCCTTCTATTCGACTTAGAAAGAGGGGTGTGTATTTTTTTATTTTTGTGACATTGGTACTGGCCATTGAAAAAGATGATCAAAAAAATCATCGTCTGTGGAACTTATTTATAAATACGGATCTGTTGTACAATCACTAAAATAGCTACAGTATTATTAAATGAAAACGAAAGTGAAAATTTGTCTTGTAGTTAAATAGTTTTAGTTAACAAATACACAATTCAATTACAAATTTAAGAAAAAATATTTTATAACAGAGTATAGACCTGATTCATGATTCTACTCTCATTTAACATTTTTTAAATAATTTATAATACATATTATCTAATACAAGTTAAAATGCACAATCTTCAAAATGTAATTCGATTTGTTTGATTAACTTAGACTCAATTCATTAAATTCTGAAATCAAAATTTTACTGTAATGTTTTTTTTTCGTTTAATATGGTACTTCGAACTTGTAATTATTTGGACTTCCAAATCCACTGCTTCCACTAATAACTATGTAATAAAAATCACGCATTGAGTTTATTCTCGACCAACATATATACGAAAAAGTTGAGATGTCGTCCTCAAAAGTACCATGTTCAACTGGCTCGTAAGGCTCAATGTACAAATATGAATGTTGCGACTTCTTGACCCTGTTAAATAATTTATTATAAATCAGCATGAGATTTTTATGTAGAAAGAGCAAAAGATATTACTTACGCCCAAATTAAAAATATAACAAAAAGTTGTACAAGCAATATTATGCCAAAAATTTTATTTATGACCGTATTATTTTTGTTAACAGTAGCAGATTTTTCATTTTCTTCTTCAGGAATAATATACCGACTTTTGTAAAATGACATCCTTCAGAGTTTTTCAACCATAATCTTGAGAAAAACATAGCTACTTTTATACTTTTTCCTTTATTCCAATTATTAACATATTATTTGAATATGGCTACTTTTATACTTTTCCTTTAATATAATATAAAAAAAATTAATTTAAAATTTCGCGTATATAGTATTTCTCATAAAATTATTTAATATTTTTTAAATTGAGCAACAGATCAGTTTCAATATATTAAAAATTTATACATCGTTAGCTCTATAGATAACAGTACAGACTTCGGAGGTTTATTTTGCTGTTTTGAAAAACAGGTAATACGAATTATGCAATAGCGCGCGAAGAATTTTGAACATTAAACTTTGGTTATATACAGTAATTAAATTCATAGAATGTTGTATATCATACAGAACTCAGAGTTTCATTTTGACGTTTTGTAGAAATAGGAATAGACAATAACCGAGACAGAGATAGCATATTTCCTGACAAATTTTTTCTTATTATATCATACAGAAGTCGGAGTTTTATTTTGATGTTTTGTAAAATAGGTAATACAAATAACCGCGGCGAAGACAGCATAAATTAAGTCAATATGAATTTAATTATCTCCTTATTTGAGCAAGTTCATTTAAAAAAATTAGTTTAAAATTTTGCATATATAGTATTTCAATTGCATAACAGATCAGCTTTATAAATTTTTAATATTTATGTAGAGACATACTTCGGCATTTCCTTTTGTAAAAATAGGTAATACGAATAACCCTGACAAAGATAGCAGAAATAAATCAATTATGTTTTAATTATTGCCTTATTTGAGCAAGCTTATTTGTGAAAAATATTATTAAAGAGACATCAGATCCAGTCCAAATCAACAGAATGTTAGAAATCAAAATGATTACAGAGCATATTTTAAAATTTTTAAATCTTTTGTTAAAATTTGCTATAGGAATTTTTTATGCGATTATTATTTCAGTTTTATTAATTCTTTTATTAACAATTACAATATGTATTCCACATTTAACGTTTTTTTCCTTTGCTATCGTTGCAATCTCCTTTTATTCAAAAAAATAATTATCGATAGCAATAAAAAACCATTTAAACCTTCTAGTAATAATCGGTTTACTTTGGTTCTAATTGTAAAAAAACTTTTTTATTTAACTATAATTATAGTTGCTTTGATTTTTTTACTTTGTATTCCAAAATTGTTGTTTTTTTGCAGTCTTCCTGTTACATTATCTATTTTATGCGAAGACTATTTTTCAGATGATCATATCTCCAAAATAAATGAAGAAAATCAAATAGACACATCTAATAATCTTGATTGGGTCCAAAACTACCAAATCCAAGAAATAGAACCTAATACTATTATGACAAATAAACTATTTAATTTTACAAAACATTATTTCATAAAGTTCATTTCAGACCAAATCTATAAACACTCTAGAAAACCATCTCAATCCTTACCTGATTTCAAATCAATTGCAGTTCTATCTGAAATAGAAGATAAAGAAAAGATTTCACCCGAACATAATTCTACTGATGAGATGCAAACACTATATGAATTATTTGATTTTTATATACAACATTACTTAACATTAAAAGCCCTTACTTAAAATCAAAAATAGAATTAGATAACCAAAAAATTGAAAAGTTGATTGACCAACCAATAAACAATGGTCCTATAAAATTTTCAAGTAAAAGTTTTATAAATTATACTCAACAAATGGAATTGAAAAAATTATACGAACACATTCAACATTTAATCAAAATTTCGCAAGGAGTTATAACACTTCAGAATATTTTGATAAAGCAATTAATCTTGGATGACATTATTATAAAAAAAATTTAATAATAAGTGATGAGGTTTTTAGTAATATTGTAAAGCACAATAAAGTTTTGCACAAAGTGAACAAACAATGGATTCTTTTTTTTGGGTCTTTAGCTAGAAAAAATAATTGATCTAATCTATTTTAATTTCCTACAATAACAGTTACAGAATCAAATTACTAAATAATTTGCTTCAAGCTATACCAATCTTGTTAGGCTTAAAGACAGTCACTTATCTTCCTTCATCTATCCTTCATCATAACAAATACTCGTAATTTTGGAACATCAATTTAAATGAATTTGAACCTATTTATCCTGAACTGAAAAACTAAAAGAATGCAATCAAAGTAATTTAAGTTTTCTTTGATTTATTAATTATTTTTGTATGCTTACTAACAACTTAATTCAAAATATATGCTGTAGATACATGACGAATTTATAGCTACACTTTCTAGGGTTAAGTTATTAAAGTCCTAGAAAGGAATTGCTATAATTATTTGTCATGTATCTGTAATATAAGTTTCTCTGATACCTTTATAATATAACTCGCGCCTCAACTTAAGGTTAGTCAAACCTTCCAAATCCTAATACAAGTAAAATATTTGAAAATATTAAATTATTTTTTTTTTTACTTCATAAGATTGAATTGATTTTCCAATATATTACGAGTAAATTTCTGTCCAACGATGACAGGAGACGATGGCGTTTGATAAGTTCTTGTGAACTTCCTCGTTTGTCAGGATTGCTAGTGTGAATTTCCGAAGCAATTCACTTTGAGCATTTCAATTTCGGGTTCTAGTTTTAAGTCTTTTATTTAGTCAATTTTGTTTCTGTAACTTTTTTAGAAACATACCTTTAATATAAATTGCAAGAAAAAATTTTAAATTCAATATTTATTATTTAAATTTCACATAGACAATATTGCTGCGCAAATTTTCCAACCTTTCACTTTTTCAAACAAATAGAAGCATTTATTTAACTTTTTATTCTTGGTCACTTAAAAATTCTTAGACAACTTGTATTTTTAATATTAAACTATTCTTATTTATTACTGAAATAAAAAATTGACCAATATTTTATTTCTTAAAAAAAATTACAATTGATAATGAAATGACCGAATATTTATCTCCTCTACTAAAATTTCACTAAGTCATATTTATAGAGTTTTCTTTATACATATGCGAATACTACAATATAAGAATAATTGTCTTGAATAGCATAATACTTAAATTTTCGATATTTATGAAATATTTTATTATCATGTACTGTTCATATTTAATAAATAATACTCTAAATTTGTGAATTATTTTATATCAATAATTATACATAATCAATCAGGTGTTTGAATTTAACCGAATTTAATACAAACGTATAAAATGAATTTGGGTTAAAAAAAACTTGTCTTAACACGTACTAAGCCACAAAATACGTGATAATGCGCATATTTACAAAAAATTCAAGTCTCGAAAAATTTTTATACAAATTTTTACATTATTGAAAAAAGAACATTTTTATGCACAAAGAAAAGTTGGTGTATAAGTCGAATTCAACAAATATATTTAAGTCTCGATGAAACACGTCTGAAAACTAAATTCGCAAGATATTTCTTTTGCACCTTCAAAATCAACTATTACTTAAATTTCATTCAAAATGGATTTCTTCGCTATTTGTTGCACCATAACTTTGTTTCTATTTATCTATTACTTATATGCTCTTATTTATCTTATCTATCACTTGTACAAAAATACCAATAACATTATGAATGTTAAAAGTAACAAAAATGAAGTCAAAGAAGATTTGAAAAAAATAGAAGTTCTGGAACATTTAAACGTTCAAAATAAATTTACTCAGCATGATCAAAAACAATTCTTAATAAGTTTCCAAAGCCAATCGGAGAATCGAAGAAATCACTTTACAAGAAATAAACAAAACCAAGTTAAATATATTAAAAAAGATAAACTATTAAACAAAATAATCTGCCAAAACAAATCTGAGGATAGGAAAAAACGCATAGCAATTTTAGAATGGGAAAGACTTATAACAAAATTAAATTTAATAGATCAATTATTAGTTGAAAAATGGAATGAATACTCAACTAATATTGACAGCATTGAAAATTTAGTAAACTTAACCGATCAACTTAATTATTTTATTCATAAGTGGTTAATGCCAAAGAAAGCAAAAACAATCACAATAGAAAATGAAATTCATTTTAATATATCACATTTTTCTATTTCTTAAAATATTTTTTTAAATTTAATTTTATTATGTACAGTCAGACCTCGATATAATCACCAGGTTGGGAAACAAAATTTTGGTGATTATAAAAAGTTGTGACTATATAAAGGTCAAAATTTATATGTTTTATAATAGCTAGATCAAAAAAATAGTGTAATTATAACAAGGTTGTGACTATATTGAGAGTGACTATAACGAGGTCTGACTGTATATACTTCTTTTTATACAGTAATTTATAAAAATAACATACAAGGAACCATTTAAATTGTAAATAAAATAATCTATTCTTTTATTTTTAGTCTTACTAGTATTTCGTTTATAGTTACCTTATCCTTTTAATGTGAAAGTTTTTTTGGATACAAAAAGTACTGGAAGAATTTTGAACTTCCATGAGTCAGTCAATAAATTTACTATCATTTACAAATTTTATATTTATTACTATAAAAATTATTTTTGCTTGAAAATAAGAAACATGTGAAATTTTGTTGTCTTTTATAATTGCACTGAGTTCTAATAACTCTCTAAAACAAGCTTTTATTTACTTTAATATATAAAATTTTTGACTTGGAAATTCATATTATCGTTATGTTTTGACATTAAGATAAATTCTTAATAAAAATATTGATTTTACGATGAATTAATATTAATGATGTAATCGGTGATCTGTTCAATATTTATACATAAACTCAGTTTTAAGCTTTTAGAATAAGATCTTCAAACTCGGAACTATTAGATTATAAACTTTAGTCTAAATTACGAATTTTTATTGTATATTTACATGTGAACTTTATTAAAGCAATTACTCTATATATTTAAGCAATAAATACTGTATTATAATAATTATGATAATAATCTTGGTTCAATAACATATAATGTATTGTTAATTCAAATATTTATTAGAGATTTAGTAATATTTTATATAAATATTTTCATGCCCAAACACGTTATAGACTCTAAGCATGGTTTTGCTGTGTACTCACCCAAATATAAATTTGCGATTCTCAAAGTGAATTTTTTATATAAAAAAGCATTAAACATTATCTTAATCAAATTCAAATTATAGTCTCTACGACTGAATAAAACAATTTTTTTTTGCATTTTTTTTATTTTATTCTATTCTAAAATAAAATATCTTTTGTAAGTTTTAAACCACCATTTTGATTACCACTCCAATAAAGTTTTATTAGTTCTTATTTTTTTTTTGTTTGATTAACGAGCAAGTATTAATTTTAAAATTTTTATAGACTATGCATTCATGCACTACTCTTTATGAAGATAGTTGGGGTGAACCTCCAAAAAAAGTGTTGGATTGGAACAAAAAAGTTAATAGCAATGTTTATTGCGTTTGCGGAATATGCTGGAGTCCGTATATTCATTGGAATTAGAATGACATAAAAAAATGCACATACGAATTTTGCGAATATTGCAAGTGTAATAATCATTTTTCAAGAAATTGTTGGTACAAGACAGAAGAAGAAAAAAATAAAGAAAACGAATTCAAAACAGGATGGCCACTAATCCCAAGTTGCAAACTATGTTCAGATCAGTATCGCCGCATTTATCATATGGGAAGACAGTGCCCTCGGGAAGAGTTTAAAAGGTGGTCTAAAGGAGAAGAAAATAATTTTTATAATGAATTGAGTCTGGAAGAATGAGAAATAATAGACGTATATAATTAAAAATTATAATAAATAGTATCGCAGTATGAATTAACCAAAAATTTAAATTAGTGTGAGCTTTACTATATTTTATCGTTTGATTACGGTTTTCATTTTGTTTTTAAATCGACTTTTTAAGCAACCTTATTTTTATAGCATTGGCAAACTATTTTCGTAAACGTGATTGGCCAATCATTAGACAAATTATAAATACCTATCGCTATTGAAATTTACTATCGCTATCGCTATTAGCATTAGCATTAGGAGTGTGTAAATTATTTGATAGGCAACACCCCAACGTGATACTGGGGTGTTCGGTACACTATGTAAATCAAAATTATAAGTGGTATCATTAAAGATTTTTAGATTTTTACTTATGTACTATAATAATTCTTCACGAATTTTAAATCGATGCACAACCCTAACGGCTCGATGGTTTAAGATAAAATTTTGTATCAACCAAGATTATATCTCTGCAAACAAAGCTATAGAGCCATTTCTTTTATTTAACTATAAAAAATTTTTAATTAAAGAGAAGACTTTTTTTAAAATAGTGGTTTAAAGTTTTTTTATAGTTAGATAAAAGAAATGGTTCTATAGCTTTGTTTGTAGAGACATAATATTGGTAGTCACAAAAACTATCAAGCTGTTAGAGTTGTGCATCTATTTAAAATTCGCAAAGAATTATTATAGTACTTAAATAAAATCAAAAAATTTTTAATAATAGTTTTTTATATGATACCACTTATACATAGTGTACCAAATATCCCAACGTAATACGTGGGTTTCAAAAAATTATAGGCTATACGATTAATAGTAAAAGGCAAGATAGTCAAAAAAAAAAAAGAACTAATTTCGAGCTGGTTATACTGAGTCTACATAATTAATTAAACATATAAAATAACTCTTTTTAAATGTATTAGCATCTAGAATTCATTTTCTTTATTGTAGCAAATTCATAGAATTGGCATGTTACATATATACAAACAATTTGACCTGTATTTTACTTTATTATAAGTTTTCTAAAGTCTTTTGAGAATTGCTTAACATCAATTATAGAAATTAAAAATTGCGTTAGAGAATTGATCCGGATATTAATTTTAGAATTATATGAAAAAATCACGATTAAACCAAAAATAAGCAAAATATTAAGTATAAGTAAAATAATAAAAAACCATTTAAAATGTTCGTTAATATTATTTGGAAAAACTTTGTCCAGTTTGTTATTTTTTTCGCGTACAAACTTGTTAATGTTATTTGTACTAGCATAATCATTTTCAATCGTATCTATAAATTTAAACGGTTAATTCCTCACTTATTATTGTGCTATTTTTTATTATAAATTTCATCTTGAGAATATTTCACTTATTATTGCACTATTTCTTATTATAGATTCTTACCTTGAGAAGATTTCAATGTCGAAACTGTAAAACAATCGTATATATGAAAATTAAATGATTAATTTCTCACTTATTACTGTACTATTTTTATTATAGATTCTCACCTTGAGAAGACATTGTCGAAACGATTGACCAATATGTCTGTTGAGAACTATTTGATTCTGATTCATTTTCAATCTCACTTTAAAAAATTTAGTGTTAATCGTAAAATTACTATTTTTTATATTATAGATTCCCACCTGAAAGTGTTGTCTGTTGAGAATTCAAAGAAACAAATTCTCCAGTAATAGAGTCATAGCATTCATTAGCTTCTAGATTTCCAGGATAATAAAGATATGACATTATTTTAATTTTTATTGGTAGAGTTTTTGAAAAAATCAAATTCAAACAGTCACAAGAGTCAGTCAATTTATAGTTTTGACGGAACAGTACATATATTATAGCAGATAATATAAAACATTAGTCTAAACAACAATATTACTAATCTCAAAAGTATTTTAATTTACAGTATATCCGCGTAATTTTACTTAAATATTAATATATGTAAATTACTGTATATTTTTAAAATAAATCGAATTTATTATTAGTATAAATATATTTGAGTGACTCAATAATATAAATTTTATATTATCCGAAATTAATAATTAAATTCATCAAAAATGACACACGTGACATAAATCTTTTTTTTTGAGCTAATCATTACTTTATAATAGGCACAAATTTTAATATAACGATTATAAAGCACAATTAAACCTGGCCAAATGATAAAGGCAATTCAGATATGTATTACGTATTTAATTAAACATTACTTGAAGTAGACTCATTTAATTGCAAGAAAATGTTTAAAAAAACACAGCCAATTTCATAACACAAGAAATTTTAAAAAACCCTATTTTAATGCGTAATATTTACTTAAAAAGCCACACTGAATTTTGTCAGTATGAAAACATAAAATTTATTATATACAGTATGAAAAAAGTATACAGAATTATTAGAATGGCTTACACTATGCCTTACATGCCTTACACCAATCACCATTCCATTCGTAAGGACATCTATCTCCCTTATAATGATGAATAGGTTTAAATCTTCTAGAACACCATTCACATTTTAAAGAATTAATTTGTTGATCTATTTCTAGCTTAAACCAACAGCTTTGCGTATTGTGTGTGTTTTTTTTATAGTATGAATACTACTTATATGTCCCCCACTGAACATAATCCCAATCCCAATTTTTAATCCAACCCCATGCGGCATGACTGCTCTCTAAGCAAAGACCAATGGAACATAAATCACAAAAATTATTATTACAATCTTGGATCACTTGGTTCTATGTTACGTTTGTTGGTTCATTGCCCCATCTAGTGATGCCACCGAAATTAATTTTCAAAAAAGGCCTATTTCATTTCCATTAGAGCAAATTAAAATTTTTTATAAAAAAGAGCAAATAAAATTTATATATTTATACTCCTTATAATTTCGTCTA